ACATGGTGACGGAGCGATGTCAGCCCTTGGGTAGTGTGTGGAAACACGGACCATGGGCACGGGCCCCGGTGAGGGGCATCAGAGAGGCCCCAGGATGAGGTGGCTCATGACCCGAGGCTTGAAAGATGAGCAGAGCAACGGTTCTCAAACCTGAGGTGCATTAGGATCAGCTGGAGGGGTTGTTAATCTAGAAGGCTGGGTCCCACCCCAGAGTCCCTGCTGAAGCTGATCAGCGGTGGGGCGCAATAATTTGCATTTCTAACACGTTGCCAGGCACTGAAGACGGGCTTTCCCAGCAGGGGCAAGTGCACGTGGGACTGGTCCCGCAGCTGGCCTGGCCAGGGCACCGGAGGGTGGGGAGGCAAGAGGATTCAGACGAAGGCAACACCAGGCCAAAGACAGCCGGGGCGCAGGCTCTTCCTGCACTCCTGGGCCAGAACACAGACTGGCAGCAGGCTACAATGTAAAGTCTCCTTGGGAAGGCCTCCCTCCACTTCCCTCTCTTTTCTGAGCTCTGTATGACCCTGCACTGCTTCTCTCTCGATAGAGTACTCATAGCTCAAGGGCCAGGCACTGGACTAAGTGCTGGATGCAAGTTCTCTCATTACACACCCTAAAACTTTGGCGTAGCCATAGGGAGGTCCCCATTTCACAGATTGGGACACTGAGGCACTGAATGCTTTGGTTGTTTGCCCAAGGAATCACAGCTGTAAGAGGTAGCGTGCCAGGACGCACACCCAGGCTTCCGTCCCTCTCTGCTCATTGTTTGACCCCATCCGGCCTGCCAGAGCCCAAGGGGTCCAGTTCCACGAGGCCTAACCAGGGCTGGGGTCATTGCTTTTGGGGACAGGGGAGGGCAGCCAGAGCAGCCGGTCTCCAGAGAGGCACACAGGGACTCCCGGACAGCCGAGGTGGACCGGCTGCCAGCTGAACTGAACAGACGAGTTGGTCCCCAGCCAAGGATTCCCCATGATGAGCAGCCTGGGGGTGTAGAGTCAGGTGGAGCTGCCTTTAAACCTCAGCCCCTACCAGCTGTGTCTCTAGGTCCATTAACCTTTATAGGTTCTTCTCTACAAAACGGGATAATAACTCTTCTTCTCTATTGCTTGCTTTCTTCTCTACAAAACGGAATAACTCTAACCCCACGGGATTGTCATGGGGGTGGGGAAATAAAATAACTGGGGCCTGCCACCAAGCATGTGCTGAGTGAATAGAACGCTTTCTTCCCCAGCGCCCCCCCCCCCAGGGCGGGGGGGGGCCACCACCACTGACCTCACCCAGCCCTGGCCAAGAGTAAGACCTCTTCTTAGCAACTTGAGACAGAGGCTGAAGACAATCACCTCTTGTGGCTTGGGGGTCGTCAGGCAAAGGTCTGTGCTGCTATAGCTGGGTCCCTGCTCACCACCTGGAGGATGTGGCCAGGGAAGCATGTGAGTCCCTGGGGGAGCTCTGGGACCACAGGGCCTTACTGGAGGCAGCCCCATGAGGACAACGGAGGCAGCAGGCCACGGAGACGCCCCTCCGATGGCACAACGTAGATCTCAGTAGAGTGAAAAGGCAGCAGGGAGAAGGAATTTGAAATGGATGATGAAAAGAACACTGATCTTGAGCTCATATTGCCTTGGGTCACGGTCTCCGTCCGCCATTTAACTTTGTGACTTTGGACCTGTTACATAAACAAAACCCTCTAAGCCTGGGTTTCTTCATCCATAAGTTGGAGTCACTCATCTCTCAGGTCAGTTCTGAGGATTCAGTGAGAATGTCTGAGCAGGGGCTCAGGGGATTGTACAGCTGTTATTTGTAAAGTTCACCTCCCATCCAACACAGCTGGGCACACCACGAAGCCAGCAAAGGGTTAATGGGACCGCCCTCAGCTGCAGACCAGTAAGCACGCAGGGGCGGCTCTTTTTACCCAGACCTTTTTCGGTTGCCTTTAAATTTCCCTGACTCTGCTCCTTGGAGGAAGTGGATCTGAGGTTTGGCCTCCGGTCTCCTCATTTGGCTGCCTGTCGCATAAATCCTTATCCTTGCTGCCTACTCGGCGTCTCGCGGTGACCATCTTTGCTGAGCACTAGGCAGATGACCTTGGGTTTGCATGCAAACATGGGGAGCCCAGCAGGAGCTTTGTGCCTGGTTTGTTGGCCCCCAGCTGGTAACGGGAGCCTGCTGACCCGAGAAGTTGCCTAGGCTCTTTGTCGTGGGGCCCGTCCTCAGGGCCCCACCAAGGTTCAGCACCTAAATTCACTCCTGCAGCCAGGCAATGGCTTTGAGGTCTGGTTTGGACAGAGAGGTCTGGGTGAGTACTTCATGCGTGGTGGCAAGGAGCTTATTTCTTCCTCCCTTTTGGTTTGGCTTTCTTGGATTTCTTCCCCTCACTCAGCTGCCTCCAAGTAGAGGGTTTTGCTTCTCTTAGCCTCCTTTTCTTAAGACAAGGCTGACTAGCAAACAGTTGGGTTCAGCCAGTGGAGCTCTGACTTTTAGGGAGGAGCTAGAAACAGGAAGCCATCTGGTTCAATCAGTGAAGCCTGGTCTTCTGTGGAGGAACCAAGGCCCTTAGAGGCCAGGCTCTGGGCTTCGTTTGGTTCATTTGTTGTAGCAGCTTTTGGGATCTTTGAATAAAACTGGCCATGTTCTAAGTGGAAAATGGGAAGTGACCATTTGATCCCCCCGTGCAGCCCATCGGGCTCTATTCTCCAAAACGGGGCAATATTTTTTTTGCAACACGGCTTAGCCGCCATATTCATTAGACTCTTGAGAAAAATAACCACCTAATGGACCCATAAATTATACTACCTTGCACTTAGATTTGTGTTATAAAAGAGATTTGGAAATTGGGCCTTTAAGATCCTATTTGCACCTTGTTTATGTATTTGTATGTGTCCATATGTGTTCTAAGTGTGAGCTAGTTTCTACGTCTGCATGGTGTTGCTAAGACAAATTTGTACGAGAGTTCTATTTAGGCCGTTAAAAAGCAAGTGCTTGTTAGAATTGGCCATTCTAAAACTCAAAGACAGAAACGAACCCAAGTGTTTTTCACATGATCTTGAAAACTATTCAGTATTAAAGCTAACTTAAGGTTGCTGATTTAATTAAAATGGACATGTGTTTAGAATTAAAAGCATTAAATACAAAACTTTTATTCTGCCTCTGTTGATTGAAAGTCAGGTAAGTTCATCTTCTCTCCACTGCAAAATCTGTCCAAAAGGGGGAGGAAACCAACACCTTAGAACTTTGTCTAACGTCTTAGGAAGTTTTAGGCTCTGAACCTGGACAAGACTGGCAGGTGGATTTTACCGTGAGGCCAAAACAACAGAGGATTTTCAATACTTGCCAGTATTTATAGATCCCTTTACAAGTTGGGCTGAAGCTTTCACACGCCCTTCAGAGAAGGCCTCAGAAGTTGTCAAAACACTTCTAAGCAAAATCCTTCCTAGGTTTGGATCGCCACTAACAATTCAGACGACCGGGGAGCAGCATTTGTGGCAAAAGTCATGCACGTGGTGCCCGACGCCTTGGGCGGTCAATGGAGCCCCCCACCGACTGGGGAAAAAAAAAAAGAAAAATTAAATTTGGCAAGGATACGCCAGGAAACTAACTTGCTGGTTGCTCTGCTCTGGGTAAGAGTGGCCCCCCCAGAGTGGGCTTGATTTAAGCCTCTATGTTATACAGAAGACTCCTTCTACACCCCTTTCATGACTTAGGGGTTCCTGATGGGGCTCCCATTAGGGAATTGGATATTATCAGGCACACTGAGTGGGCAGGCTCACTGCCAGCAGGCTGACGTGCCCCGCAGGTGTGCCCTTACGTCGCCGGATTCCCGGAGACTTGGGGTCACTAAAGACCGGCAGAGCGAGCACGCAGAGGGCCAGCTCCAGACTCCCCGCCCAGGACCTTGCCGGGTGCTGCTGACCACCCATTCTTCAGTGACACTGGAGGGAAGAAAGCTGTGCATTCCTCGCACTCGAGTTAGGAGAGTCCACGGGTTTCCTACAGCCTGTAGGCAAGGAGGACCTCGCAGGGAGCACCGCTTGGCAAGCCAGCCCCCGGCAGACCTGAGCTGCTCATCAGGAGAGCCGGTCTGAGGAAACCCGTGCCTACAACAAGCTTGGTTCCGACCAATCTCGCCGAAGGCCCCAGGTAAAACAGAGTCCCCGCACTACCAACCAAAGTACACAAATCTCGGTCATGCAGAATGGCAGGCAGAGAGCTTCCATTCCTCTAACTCTAGTCCTCACCCCATCTCAGCAGGAAGTAACCGGAGCAGTCATCATCCCCATTCCCTCAAGGATGGGGAAGGATCAAAGGACAGTGGGGACTAGAACCCATAACCAAAGGGATAGGGGGACTGATCACAGCTGCAGACGAGGAAGCTCAGCTGCAACTTTTTAACCCAGACCTTTCTCATTTGCCTTCAAATTTCCCTGACTCTCCTCCTCGGGGAGAGGTGGATTTGAGGCTTGCCCTCCCATCTCCCCATTTGGCTCCCTCTCGAAACTTCTCCTGGCTGCGTAGGCCGTGTCTCAGTGATTGTCTTTGCTAGGCATCAGGCAGATGAGCTTGAGTTCAGCTACAGTAACACAAGATATTTGTTCGCCCATTTATTGAATCACTTTTACTGAGCATCTACTCTGTGCCAGGCACTGTTGTAGGCACTGGAAATCAAGCCCTGGGATAAGACCGACAACAGCCCTGCTTGCCCAGAGCTCACATCCAGTGACAGCTGACCATCAGTAAGCAGCTAAACAATACGCATATGTGAGTAAGTGCTCTGAGTGCATTGGAACTGGACAGTGTGGTAGCAGGTGATTCTCTCCACATGTGGCCAGTGGAGGGGCTCAGGACAGTAAAGGGTGTCAGCCAGTCGTGGCCAAAGGCAGAGATCCGTGGAAGACCAAGAATCCACCTTCTTTCCGTCCTCTCCTCCCTTAGCCATGGTCTGGCCAGATGTCCCTCAGAGTGTGCACCCCCATGGCCCCTAATGTAATGTGTTTGGTTTCCAGGAGAGCCGCACCCTCGGCTGAATTTTCAGTGGACAGGACGCGCCACTTGATGTCCTTCCTGACCATGATGGGCCCCAGCCCCGACTGGAACGTGGGCCTGTCTGCAGAGGATCTGTGCACCAAAGAGTGCGGCTGGGTCCAGAAGGTGGTGCAGGACCTGATCCCCTGGGACGCTGGCACTGACAGCGGGGTGACCTATGAGGTGGGTGAGCACCCGCAGTGGTGACGGGACGACCGTTCCTGGGTGCTTGCTCTCTGGTCCCGCGCTGGTGGGCCTGGACGTAAATGACGTAGATGAACGCACGGTGTGGTCGGGCAGGTCAGCATCATCTCCCTCTCACAGACCACATACAGTGTGACCCACACAGCTGGCCACGAGGCCAGGGAGGAGAGGGAACCTGCTAAAGGGCAGTTCCTAGGTAAGCCAGGGAACAGCAGGAAACAGGGGGGGAAGCACAGAGCAAGAGAAGGGGTGAGAATGGGGAACAGAAGTTGATGTCCGTACTTTAGACTGGGCCAGATTCTGGAGGTTTCCAGACAGCCCGCCAGGTTAAGGAGTTTGGATTCTGTCCTGAACGTTAAAATTTTTCAGCTGTGGTCAGCACACCAACTGCATGGAAATGTGAAGCCATTAGAAAACCAGCGGCAGGGCCGTCTAGAACAGACCCTGGTAAACTATGGTTTGTGGGCCAAATTGGGACTACCACCTGATCTGTAAATAAGGTGGTCAAACTCAGCCACCCCCGAGTACATGTTGTGGGGGGCTGCTCTCTCACGACAACAGCTAAGTGGAGTTGTAGCCGACACAGGATGGCCCACAAAGCCTTGAAATATTTACCATCTGACCCTCTACAGACTCGTTTGCCAACACGTGGTCTAATAGGAAGAGCTCTGGATTCAGGCCAGCCTGGTTCAGCTGTCTCCCGGCTGGAATGACCTCTCTGAAACCTTTTCTTCATCAGGATGGAATCCTGCGTACCTGGGAGAGTCTGAAAGTATAGGTCCCCGATTTCCTTGCACGATGCACAGGGTGGATAGAATTGCATAAACATCCATAGTAGTTATAGCTGTTGTGAAATCCCTATCATGGCTTTTGTTGATCCTATTACAATCAAATTGCTGTTGTGATTTTTAACCACTTTGTTTCCCACACTCTGTATCTGTGTTTCTCCCACCCCACCCCCACCCCCACAGTCACCCAACAAGCCCACAATTCCCCAGGAGAAAATCCGGCCCCTGACCAGTCTGGACCATCCTCAGAGTCCTTTTTACGATCCAGAGGGCGGGTCTATCACTCAAGTGGCCAGAGTTGTCATCGAGAGAATCGCCCGGAAGGTAATGGGGTAGAGCTCACCCTGGCACGGACCCTTCCCAACAGGAGTGTAAGCAGACTGTACCCCTTTCTGCTCTAGAATCATAGGGTCCCTTGCATATTCCAGAATCTAGAACTCCTGGACTTCCCAAGCTTTCTAAGCATGCAAATTATTCATAAGCTATAAATGAGCAAAATAAACATAAGGGAAAGGTTCTGTGCTCTCCTGAATGATGCGATCCAGAAAAACCGGTTTCATTGTGAGTTCCACAGTTGATTATTAATGTCTGCCATGGGTCAGGCACTAGGAAGCTGTGGCTTTCTTGCCATTTCTTTCGGTCCGATTGTAAATGTTGGCTCAAAACTCCACCATGGCCTGGGATTTGTACACGGGGCGGGCATCCAATTTTTATGTCCTTCCTCTGTCCCCTACGCATGCCATTCTTTAATGTGAGCCCTCCAAGCAAAATGTCCTTTTGCAGGGGGAACAATGCAATATCGTGCCTGACAATGTCGACGATATTGTAGCAGATCTGGCTCCAGAAGAGAAAGATGAAGGTATGTAGTTGTTCTTCGTTGCAGGTAGCAACATAAACTGGCCATACCTTTTGGGAAAGCAGTTTTCTAACAGGTTTGAAGAGCTGCAAAAACCTCATGTCCTTTGACTTGGTAACCCATCTTTGAGGACTTCTGCATGGAAGATCATCCAAAATAAGGCCAGGACTAGGCACAGAGTATAAGGGAGTTGGTGTAAGTGGGCTATCGGAATATGTGTTCACTGGTATCGGGCCTTTGGGTGGGTGTCACAGTATCCCCAGCGCGCTCTGCTTTGTCACACTGTCCTGTGAGGCATGGACACAACCACTTCCCTAGCGAGGAAGGGGAGGCCCAGATGCTACCGTCAGGAGGGAAGCGCAGAGCCTAGGCTTGAGCCCGTGTCCTCATGGGATCTGGAGCCACACGACCGGGGTCCTCCTGTGGCCTTGGGCAAGAAGCTCCCATCCCACCACGGGGTCCTAGTGTAAAATGGGGATGATCACCAAACCTGCCTCACTGAGAGTTGTTGTAAGAATCAAATGGGCTAAAACATGTAAGGTTCTCGGAATGCTGTTGGCGTGTAGTAAGTTCACTCCATGAACACCGGCTGCCCTTACGTGACCCCTGTTATAGGGTCATCGGGAAGATGGGACTAGAAATGCTCTTCACGTGTTGAGGGGAAGGGATAGTAAGAGATCTTCCCTGTTGTTTAGATATTGTTGCAATGATTATAATTTTTAAAGGCAAGTGAGTAGCTGCTTCCACCCCAAGAGTACCCAGGTTTGCTGAGGCAGGTCAAGCGGCAGGGATCTTATCTGCAAATGAGCTTGTGTGTGGGGAGAGGGCCAGCCCCAGTGTCCACAGGCTCCCAGGGAAAACCTGTCACGTACTCGTTCCAGATGACACCCCTGAAACCTGCATCTACTCCAACTGGTCCCCGTGGTCCGCCTGCAGCTCCTCCACCTGTGACAAAGGCAAGAGGATGCGGCAGCGCATGCTGAAGGCACAGCTGGACCTCAGTGTCCCCTGCCCTGACACCCAGGACTTCCAGCCCTGCATGGGCCCGGGCTGCAGCGATGAAGGTGAGCGCACAGCCCAGGGGCACAAGTGGCTGGCAGAGGCCGAGGAAGGGAGGTGCTACCTGGCTCTGCTGGCCCCTCGTACCTGGTCAGTGTCCCTAGGAGGGCACCAGGACCCTGACCATAGTGGCCGGTGGGGACCACTAGGGAAGAACCCCATCTCCAACAATGTCCTAAGACATCAAAAGAATTCTTGATTATCTACCCAACTCCCTCCAGCCATGGAATCAATGACACACCAGTCACTAAAAAGCTAGCAAACATCTTATGACAATCACAACTCTAACAAGCAGCCTGCTTCTGGGCCTTCACTCCAGTCTCTTCTGAAGGAACAGAACAAGGTAGCCAACACTGAATCTAGATCCATTGCCCTAATTCTGTGTCTTTCATGGACCTTCATGTCTCCCTTCTGCCCGAGTTAGAGCACCTGCTTTCCGTCTCAGGACGCTGGGCTGAATCCAAGAGTTCTGTCTCTCTGAAAACTGCTCAAAAATCAGGCTTGAGCTAGGAGCTTGCACCACCTCGGTGGTGATGGCCCAAGCTTCAGAATGGCACTGGGCTGCCTGCCGGGCAGAGGTCGGCCACCTACTTTCCAGGGCACACCCACGCTCCCCACCTGGACAGATCTGGACTCTCTCTGTACTTTGATCTTAACTCTCTCAGAGGTGCCGTGAGGCAACAGGAAAGGACACAGAATTTGGGCTGGTTTATGGCAGGAAGAAGACCACTTCCAAGCCGAGGATAATTGAAGGAAGCTTCTCGCACTGCAGGTCATTCACCCTCTGGCTCTTCCTGGGGACAGTCTTAGATACCCCTCCCGGCTGGACACCCACAGTGGCTTATTGTCGTTTGTGTCTTTGGCAAGGCCCTTCAGAGGGGAGCCAACCCTTCCATCTCCATGTAGTCTAGATATTAATCCCTTATCAGATACAGGATTTGCAAATATTTTCTCTCATTCTTGGAGTTATCTGTTCACTCTTGACAGTGTCCTTCTGTGCAAGTTCTAAATTTTCATGAAATCTGGTTTGGCTCTTTGGTTGCCTGTGCCTTGGCTGTCCTGTCCAAAAAATCATTGCTAAATTCAGTGTCATGAAGGTTTTGCCCTGTGTTTTCTCCTAAGAGATTTATGGTGTTAGCTCTGTTTAGGTCTTTGATCCATTTCAAGGTAATTTTTGAACATGATCTTAGGTAAAAGTCTAACCTCATTCTTTCATATATGGATATTCAAATTTCCCAGCACAATCATCTATTGAAGGGACTGTCCTTTCTCCATTGAATGGTCTTGGCACCCTTGTCAAATTATTTGCCCGTTGATGTGAGACTTTGTTTCTAGGCTCGCTCTCTATTCTAGTCCATTGGTCTAGATGTCCGTTCTTGTGCCAATACCACCCAGTTTTGATTCCTGTAGCTTTGTTAAGTAAGTTTTGAAATCAGGAAGAGTGTGGCCTGTCTGTACATACTCAGGTGGGTGGGGACCGTATTCTGCCTTCCTGGGGTAATGTCTTTCTTATCAGGTCCTGGAAAGCCTGAAGTGGAGCTTTCAAGCCCTACCCCTATTATTACACTGGAACATAATGTTCTTGTTCGGTAGTGTATGTTGCCTTTAATTAGCCTTGTCTTTGGGTCTAACGTGTGGGTTCCAGCAGGGATTTCTTACACATACCACCAGCACTGTCCATAGGTTAAATAACCCTGCGGAGGCAACACACATGTGCAAATGACAGCCACGGACATATGCAGGCTGGACTCACACTCGATCCTTTCTAGCTTCACTTTCCAATACACGTATATGCACACTCTATACAAGGGTGTTTGCATAAGCTTTCCCTTCACCTTAAATGCAGATATCCTTTGCCCACCAAAAGTACACTCAGATGTGCCCTTTTGTGTGAAATCTTCCCCCAAACTCCCAAGGAGAGAGTTTTTTCCCTCCTCTATGCTTAATTCCCTGGGCTTACCTTTGTTACATACTTTTGATACCTGGAATTATTGTGCCCATCTCTTTCTAAAGTAGAGCAAGATCCAGATCTTACACATCTTTTTAACTTCAGAGCATACCATGAAGCATTCAAAGCATTTAGTAGATCTTTATTGATACGAATAAATGGATAGCTAGAAGACTTTATTGCCCTCTTAAAGAACTAAGCAGGCAGACACACACCCCCTGTGTTTCCACCAGGAGTAGCACCCCTACCACTACTTGGAAACAGGACTACCAAGCCATGCTGAGAGCTTTATCTTTTCCAACAACCTCCAGAGTGTCTCCTATATGATCATGGCCTTTGCTAGCACCTAGTGATAGGAGCAAAGCCATATACAGCCCAAGGTATCAACAGAGAAGGCTGGTTATACGGCCTTCCTCATTCTTCCACTATGTCCCCTCCTCTAGCGCACACAGACATTCCCTCCCCACCCCACCATCTGCTCCCCATTGTAGCCAACCTCAGTAGCACAATGAGAGGGCTGGGGTCACTGGTCACTGAGTATAATCTGCTGTTTGGGTATAAATCCATCCTGTGTCCATCCTCAGGTCCCTATGTCCGAAGGCCAGTCAGTCTTCACCCTCAGGAACCAAATTCTCATAAATTTTTCTAGACTGGGAACTGGCATCTTTAGACAAGAACTATAAAATCTCTGGTTCCTCTGGGCAAAAGAGCTTATCCTGTATCTCAGAATACATATATAGTATCTTTCCAGCACTGCCCAGAAGTTTCTGTGATGGGAAAGTTCTGTATCTGTACTGTCCAAAATGGTAGCCACTAATCACACATGGCTACGGTGTACTTAAAATGTAGTTAGTGACTAAGGAAGTGTATTTTTCATTTTATTTAATGGTCTTAGATATAGGATACATCCTAGACCATATAGATGTATAACGTTAGATTATGATTTATCCTAAGTTTTACTTTATGTATAAATAAAACATTCTACCCATCCAAGCAGCTTTCAAATGCAATGTCATGGAATAAGGCCTAATCCTGAGTGCCCCATGCACCTGGAAAACAGGCACGTCCTCTTCAAGAACAATTCCTGGTTTCAAGATGTCTACCTTTTAACTTCCCATCCATCAACTGCCTAACTCCCCTTGAATGCTACCCAGTTTTGTTTTTTTAGGTTTAATTCCAGGATATTTAACCTACAGTCCTAGATTAGTTTCAGGTGTACAATATAGTGATTCAGTAATTCTGTACATTACTCAGTGCTCATCGTGGGAACTGTACTCTTAGTCCCCTTCACCTGTTTCACCCATCCCCCTCTCCTCTGGTGACCATCAGTTTCTCTACAGTTAAGAGATAAACCAAGTAAGACTTTTTTTCGTTTTTGTTTCTGAAATTCCACATTAAGTGAAATTCTCTGGGATTTGTCTTATTTTGCTTAGCATTATATTCCCTAGCTCCATCCATGTTTTTGGAACTGGCAAGGTTTCATTCTGTCTTATGGCTGAATAATATTCCATTACATATATATATGCCCCATCTTCTTTATCCATTCACCAAGTGATGGACACGTGGGTTGCTTCCATAATTTGACTATTGTAAATAATGCTACAATACATAGAGGAGTGCATATATCCTTTCCAAATTAGTGGGTTTTTATTTGGGTAAATACCCAGTAGTGTGATTACTGGATCATACAATAGTTCTAGTTCAGGAGCCTCCATCCTGTTTTCCAGAATGGCTGCAGCAGTTTGCATTCCCACCAACAGTGCACAAGGGTTCCCTTTTCCTCCACATCCTTGCCAACACTTGTTTCTTGTGTTTTTTATTTTAGCCATTCTGACAGGTGTGAGGTTAATAGCTCGTAGTTTTGATTTGCATTTTCCTAATGAGTGATGTTGAACACCTTTTCATGGGTCTGTTGGCCACCTGGAAGTTTTCTTTGGAGAAGTGTCTGTGCATGTCTCCTGCCCATTTGTTAGATTATTTGGGGGGTGTTGTTTTATAAGTTTTTATATATTTTGGATACTAACCTTTTATCACAGAGGTCATTTGCAAATATTTTTTCCCATTTGCCTTTTTGTTTTGTTTCCCTTGCTGTGCAGAAGCTTCTATTTTGATGTAGTCCCAATAGTTTATTTTTGCTCTTAATTCTTGCCTCAGGAGACCTATCTAGAAAAATGTTGCTACAGTGATTATCAGAAATTACTGCCTGTCCTCTCTTTTTGGATTTTTATGGTTTCAGGTGTCACATTTAGGTCCCTAATCCGTTTCGAGTGTTTGTGTATGGTGTAAGAAAAGGGTCCAGTTCCATTCTTTTGCAGGTAGCTGTTCAGTTTCCCAACACCATTTGTTGAAGAAACTATCTTTTTCCCCTTCAAAACCATGTACTAGCACAAAAACAGACCTATAGGTCAGTGGAACAGAGCAGAAAACCCAGAAACATTATATGGTGACTTAATCTTGGACAAGAGGCAAGAATAGGCAATGGGAAAGCCAGCCCGTTCCTTTTCGATCCCTGCACTGGGGAGCTGGGCGCACAGGCCACAGCATCAGCTTGTGTGTTGCAGACGGCTCCACCTGCACCATGTCCGAGTGGATCACCTGGTCACCCTGCAGCATCTCCTGTGGCATGGGCATGCGGTCCCGGGAGAGGTATGTGAAGCAGTTCCCGGAGGATGGCTCTGTGTGCACGCTGCCCACCGAGGAGACGGAGAAGTGCACAGTCAACGAGGAGTGCTGTGAGTAGGGGTGCCCAGCAAGTGCAGGGGGCGGGGGCGCCGAGGCCGTAGACTTGATTCCAACAGGGCTGGCCTTCCAGCTCCCAGCAGCTGCCTGGTGACCGAGTGGGGTGAGTGGGATGAGTGCAGCGCCACCTGCGGGATGGGCATGAAGAAGCGGCACCGCATGGTCAAGATGAGCCCGGCGGACGGCTCCATGTGCAAGGCCGAGACATCCCAGGCAGAGAAGTGCATGATGCCCGAGTGTCGTGAGTGCGCGTGGGGCAGGGGATGGGGGCGGTATGGAGGATCCCAGCACCCTTCCTATCCCCCAGCAGCAAGGCCAGAGGCTGAGCGGGTGCTGGGAGGAAATATGGCACACTGTCCTTGCAAGATAAGGGCCACCAAGCAGACCGAGAGAGGGGCCTCCCTTGAGGGACCTTCTGAGCAGTGCTGAGATAGCAAACTGCTGGCCTCTGGAAAGCATTTACCTGCAGCTGTGTTTTATAGGACCCCAGAGTTTCTTGGTTGTCGGGGTGGAGGGAGGGGTTGTATAGTAACATTCAGGCAGGACATCCAGTCCACAGGTCATAGGTCCCCACTCTTGTTCTGCATGGGACTTGCCTGGCCTCATAACGCATTACAACCCCAGCTCTATGCACAAATGTACACAGGCCCACACACCAGTATACAAGCATACATATGCACACAAGTACATGAACATTCTAGGATTTCACCAAATGTCCAAAACTATATTGCACAGTTCTTGGGCAGTGGGTGGTGTTTCAGGTGGGGACTTGGGTATTCATATTACTGAGTTAATCTGATGTCCTGAGCCCCAGGGGAGATGCAGGAGAGTGACAAGAGCAGTACTCTGCTGAGCCAGTTCTTGCTCCGTGGGGTCCCTTGGGTTTTCTGAAGCCATCGGTCCATTTCACTTGACTCCAGGGGCCAGAGTTGGGGACAGGGGGTAGGGGGGAACAAGGAGAGCAGAGAGAGTAAAAGGAGCCTGTTCTCAGAGGCAAACCTGGCTCTTGGCCTAGATACCATCCCCTGCTTGCTGTCCTCATGGTCTGAGTGGAGTGACTGCAGTGTGACCTGTGGGAAGGGCATGCGGACCCGCCAGCGGATGCTCAAGTCTCTGGCCGAACTCGGGGACTGTAATGAGGAGCTGGAGCAGGTGGAAAAGTGCATGCTGCCTGAATGCCGTAAGTCCTGGGGCTCCTGGTGCCCCCCCCACCACCCCCATTCCCCTATTACCCAGTACTGGGTGTGGGTCCTACTGCCACGTCCTGTAGTAGAGCTCTCTGCTGGGGAGAAAGCGCATGGGCTCTGGATCTCGGTGTTAGCAAAACTACTGAACTCTCAATCTCCTCAGTAGCAAGAGGGGATCCCACTATCAGCTACAAAACACCCCAACTACACGTTGCTATGAAGTCCAAAGAGGAGACCAGAATGGAAAACACTTAGCACAGGCTCAAGACGCCTTATCACATAGGGCTTGCCCTCCCCACAACTGTCTGATCCATGGGTTTTCCTTGCTTTTTACTTCTATTCCTTCTCCCTGGGACCGTTTACCCCTGAGATTAAATCCGTGACTGCTGTACATTTGCATTTGCAGCCTTGTTAAGACAAGCCATGAAAGGCTCAATGCCTGACCCCAACTCCCCCCACCCACCCGACCCCACCCCTGTGATGAGCTGTATTTTGCAGGCACTAACCTCCAAGGAGAGCGAGCCCATTTTTCTGGCTAGTCTTCCAAGCGAGCTTCCCTTTTAGGAGGTAGAAAGTCAGACTCGCTTGCTAGGACCTGTTTTCCAGCTTCCTCTGAAACGCACTTGGTCTTTGGTGCTCCCTCTTCCTTGCTATTACTCAGGCTGCCTCCCTGGGTTCAAATCCCAGTTTTGTCCCTTACAGGCTGCACAACTTTCAGCGGATGACTTAGCATCCCTGTCCCTCATCTGCAAAACAGCAGGACACACTTCCTAGGTTGCTCTGTGGATTAAACCACGTAATTGGCACAAAGTGTCAAGCACTAGCCCTGACAAGCATAGGCCTCACTTGATGTTCCACATTACAGTTCCTGAGCGGGTCCAGGCGGACTCAAGTCATGTGTGGAGAACACCCAGACTATCAAACTGGGCCTGAGGCTCTTAAGAACTAAGATCGACCCTGTGTGCAACCCAGCTCACCAGAGTTGGGGCTCCAGAACTTCTGACCAAGACAGCTACCCATGTAAACATACATTCACAGGGTTCATTGAATGGAGAAGAAAAGATGAACATTTGCTGTGCACCAGAAACTGGGCTGGACGCATTATTTCACCTAATCCTCACAACCTAATACGAATAATACCATTATCCCCATTTTACAGATAAAAAAGCTACCTGAGCTCACAGGGAGAAAGGCCCAAAACTACTGACCAAAATGAGTTCTTCCTAGATCCAGCCCGGATCTACACTCTGCAAAGCCAGTTAAGAGTCCAGAATTCTTTGCCTCCTTAGGTCACATCCTGAGAATCAGACTGTTGGGTTATTTCCCCTCTACATTTGTGAGATGCTGGCTTAGTAACAAGAATTTGCTGGATCCTGTAACCCTGATAAGCCATAAGACACCACTTGTTCTCACCCTTCTTCTCTACTGAATTTCCCATTTCTGGCTCCTATGTTTTTTGCACAAACAGCCACATATCGGACCCAGGAGGATGTTGAACAAGAGAAGCTATGGGGTCTTACTGCAGAAGTCACAATGGCCTTGGGTACTGGTCTACTGGGGTCAGCTGTGAAAGCACCAGTGAGCTGTGCCTTCCCTGAGAAAATCCAAGTCCTTGGGACTGTGGAAGGGTATTCTATGCCACCAGAGGCTGATTTGACATATTGTAGCTACAGGGCAGGGCAAGAGGCTCTGAACATATCTTCCAAGTTTCCTCCAAAGCATTTTGTCATGTGGGCATAGAATGTGGATGAAGACCTGGGCACCAATCCTGCCCCTACAGCTCACCAACCATGCGGGCTGGATGAAGTCCATCTGCCTGTAGGAGCCTCAGTTTCTTCTGTAAAATGGGATAACAGCACCTTCTTTGCATTTCTCGCAGGCTTGGGTTGAGATGCTCAAAGTAAAATGTAAGGGGCCATATGCTATCTCAGACAGGAATGATCTACACTCATGCCCATCTGTGTCTCGCCAGCCGTTGACTGTGAGCTCACCGAGTGGTCCCAATGGTCAGCGTGTAACAAGTCCTGCGGGAAAGGCCACATGATTCGAACCCGGATGATCGAAATGGAGCCTCAGTTTGGAGGTGCACCCTGCCCAGAGACTGTGCAGCGGAAAAAGTGCCGCATCCGGAAATGCCTGAAAAATCCATCCATCCAGAAGCTGCGTTGGAGGGAGGCCCGAGAGAGCCGGAGGAGTGAGCAGTTGCGGGAAGAGTCTGATGGCGAGCAGTTCCCAGGTATTGCTCCTAAACTGGAGGCTGGAGTGCAGGGCAATGTCAAAGCAGGGGAAGTGAGAGTGGGTCCTGAAGAACTGATAGGGGTTTGCATCCCAGGCAGCAGGAACAGTACTTGCAAAAGCAGAGAAGTGCCCAAGAGCATGAGATGGTCAATGAAACAGAGGCAGATGGAGTAGAGCCCAAGAGAAGAGGCAGGAAACCAGGCGGGGGGGGGGGGGGGGGGGGGGGGGGGGGCGTGCGCGCGTGGAGACCAGACCATAAAAAGTCCAGTGGCCTGCTGAGGATTTGAGACTTCATTGTGCAGGCCGCTCTAAGCAAGACGGACTTTAACAGACCTGTGTTGAGTGGTTTGGAGGTGGCAAAAACAGAGGTACAAAGGCCAATTTGGTTGGTAGCCCAGGAAAATCTGTGTTCCCTACTCCAGCATTTTAAAGAAAAGACTGGGGCTTCGCTGTTGAATAAACTGGTCCAGAGGCAAGGACTGCACGCTCATTGGCAAACGGATGAAATAAGTTGGAAAGATTCATGGTTCAGTCCTGGGTACAGACTGATCATCGCGATGGTGTTTAGATTCTGTGGAGTGGGTGAGGAAGATACCATGTAAAAATGAACGTTAATGGGTATGCTGAGTTTCTATTTTAAAAGGCACAGCTCGGGGCGCCTGGGTGGCTCAGTCGTTAAGCGTCTGCCTTCAGCTCAGGTCATGGTCCCAGGGTCCTGGGATCGAGCCCTACATCAGGCTCCCTGCTCGGCGGGAAGCCTGCTTGTGGTCCCTCTCTGTGCGTCTCTGTCAAATAAATAAAATCTTTAAAAAAAAAAAAAAAGGCACAGCTCAAGTTACCCCTTTTTCTCAAGACATTTCACTTCCACCTAGGAAATGCTCCTGATAGTTCAGGAGCAGTGCACATATCAAAGTGTTGTCTGTTGGACATTAGCCACTCAACAAATGTTAAGCCCAACTATGTGCCAGGCAGGCACTGTGCCATGGTCTTCTCCAGGAAACTTAGCATAGTACTGGATGGATAATCATAAACGTGCTTGGTTGTACAAGAGTAACCTAGAGGGCCATGGAAACTTTTTTTTTTTAAGATCTAACCTCTGGGAGTCAGGGAAGGTGTTTTTGTTTCAGCAAGAGTGCGAGAGACACACACGAGCAAGCGGGAAGGCAGGGGTGCAGCTCGGTGGGAGAGCAGCTCAAGCAGACTTTCCGCTGAGCAGAGCCCGATACAGGGCTCAGTCTCATGACCCTGAGATCATGACCTGAGCCAAAATCGAGTCAGACACTTAACTTCCCTGGGGCGCTTGGGTAGCTCAGTCGGTTTTCTTTAAGGCAGGCATATTTATCTGTGTAGGGGAAATAATAAATTATACTTGAGTTTACTTGGCATCTAGGAAGCCAAGTACAGGGGAAACAAAGCATCAGGAGCAAGTGGTTAATTGCATCCACAAGCCACCCCAGAAAAACCACTACTATGATTCTGCGGGTCAGTGACTTGGGCTGGCTCAGCTGGACCCATGAAGCTCCTATCAGCTGGAAGGTCTAGACCAGCCTCACCTGCAACTGGGGCCTCCAAAGGGCTGCCCGGAGCCTCTCTCCACGTGGCCTCTCTCCAGCATTCTAGCCAGGCTTGTTTACATGGTGGTGGAAGTGTTCCCAGCAGTTTTCAAGTCCTATTTGCTCATGTCCATGGGCCAAAGCAAATCCTATAGCCCAGCCCCGACTCTAGAGGTGGAGATGTGGACTCCTGCCCCTTGATGGGAAACACTGCAAAGCATTTACGGTCATTTCTGGGAGTCTGTCACAGAGGGGCTGACAGTCTCTCATAAGGACTCTAACCATTGTTTAACTCAACCCATCATTTCACTCAAGAGCAGGGAAGCCCAGACCCCTCAATTTGACAGGTGTGTACTGGAGTTGAGCATTTGGCATGGTCTCCCAATTTCTGCTACCCTAACTGGGCTTTCCCATGCTTCCAGGCTGCAGGATGCGCCCGTGGACAGCCTGGTCGGAGTGCACCAAACTGTGTGGCGGCGGGATCCAGGAACGCTACATGACTGTCAAGAAGAGGTTCAAAAGCTCCCAGTTTAGCAGCTGCAAGGACAAGAAGGAGATCAGAGCGTGCAATGTGCACCCTTGTTAGCCAGGGTATAAGTGGTCCAGGGCTGCACCCTAGATTTGCACAGTCACCAATGGCTGGAGTGTCTGTTTGCTTGTTGTTTAAGGCAATTTAAATCGTATCCACTAGTCTTCATTTCTGCAGTCTGGTTTGCCCAGTAGTCTTGTGGAGGCCGGGGACCTCCTTTCTGTCCACAGCTTGGTAGGCACAGGCTGCGTGGGGCTCCCTCCTCCCCTGCTGGCCCTCCTCCAGCACAGAAGACGTGTCAGCCCCCCGTCCTCAACGGAAGTGTGTCCCTCTGGAGCATCCACCAGGGCAGCACACACAGGCCTGGCCTCCTCCACAGGGAGAGGCAGCTGGGGCGGGAAGGGACTCCCATGCCTCAGCCTCGGGGTACAGCAGGGAGGAGACCATCCTGCTCCGATGGAGAGCGCAGATTCCTCTCCTCCTTGCCTTCGGCCTGCTTGCTCATGTAGAAACCTCCTGTTTGCCCATGTCCTTTCATTTAGTGGAACTTTAGGTCCTTTGTTGAGTCTCCGCGTGGGGAAAACAGAGCTGGTAGACGTGAAGAGCACTGAGAGAGGATGGCTTTTCTTTCAGAAATTCTGAAGTTCTGAATACATTTCAGATCCTCCCCTCCCAATAGTGGTGGCCAAAGCCCCGAGAAAGGAAATGATGGCCGCTTTACTGGGATGTAAGGTCGCCGGTTCTTACACCTGAGCTAAAAGGCACTAAGTCTAGAAAGTATTTTTCCCTGGCTTTTTTTTTTGTGTGTGGCCACAATTCTCCTGGGAAGCCAGCCTTATAAACCTTCTGACCTCCCATACTTACTAGAACCAAGGCCAAGGCAGCAAAACTGGCCTCTCTAGCAGCCCCAAGCCTGCACTTTTAAAATCTTCTGACACATATCTAGACTTTTAAGTTTTCAAACCAGTTCTACCAAGAAAACATCGTTTAGTTATATGTCTGCCCACATCCCACCAAGCCACTGTTTGAACAAAAATACTATCTATACTTTAAAGGGTTTTTTTTTTTTTAAATCATAAAGTTTTTTTATACGTAGAGAGAAAAATGTTTCAGAGACCAAGCAAAACAGATTGAGGGAGAAAGGAATATTACAGAATCGGGCCGAGTAGGAAAATCGGGGGGAAAGCCAAACTTTACCTGGGCTCTCCACACCAGGGCTCTGGTCCTCCAACACACGTGTGGGCAAGGCCATGGTTTTCCATCCCCTTCGAAGCACTCGAAAGCATCAAATTCAGGGATTCTGACTACCAAGAATTTGTGTAAGAAGACATTTTACTGAACTGAGTACAGCAGCAGTTTTTACTCCTTCATTTATTGTTAAAACTGTTTCATTTCTGTTGCAGGTTTTCATTATGCTTAATCCAAATATGTATCATGGATGAGATGTACACAATGTTTCTGAATACACTACTTTTAAGAATTTGCATTCAGCACATCAGAATATTTCCAAACACAACATATATATGATATAGCCCTGAATCTTCAATAAAAAACTCATTTGGGTCTGTCTTCTGTGTTTTTAAACTAATTAAAAGTGTTCAGAAGACTGGGCCCTTTCCAGTGATCCACCTGAATCACATTCAGCAAAAGATATGGTCTTTGCTCCCTCATTTGAGAGGGACATTACCACATCCCTGAGTCTTCTGGAACTTTGAGTTGTTTCCAGTATTATTTTTGTAATCCTTAAAAAAGAATTGCTACCTTGCCCCACAAAGGAGCATAATATAAAGAAGTTAAGAGGTTTAACTAGGACAGAAAATCTTGATATAGAATCTGCCCACTTGTGCAACACTGTTCTTGGCCATCTAGAGGCATACTTATTTTCAACCCATGAAAATCAAAGTCCCTCAAGTCAGTAATTCCTAAGTCTAAGGACAAGCCACCATGGTGTCTCATGTTCTTATCAGGTCTCTATGGGATACATTTTAAATCCTAATTGCAGAGACTTAAAACCAGTAACTGGTTAATGGCTGAGAATGGGTAACCTGTTTCTTATTACATAAGTATGATTTCTTTTGCAAGGAGGAATTTATAAGAAGCATCAAATCTCTTTCTTACCAAAGTCTTGGGTTAGGTAGTTTATAGTTTCCCTGGCTAACCAATCCTTTTGGAAATACTTTACTACAAAAATGAAATTTGTTTCAACTTCCACTTAAGATAATAAAGAGATCATAAGACATCCAGTAAGAACTGCCACATAAAGAGGAGCTAAACTGTACATATTTTTATCAATGTCAAACCAGTTGTAACCCAATTTATATCCACATTTTAAGAGGACAGTGAGTTCAGAGATCTATTACAGAAGACAGACAATGGGTCACTCACCTGCCACCTTCCTTACCACTGCATTAATTGAAGGAAATCTTGTTGTAGCAAAAGAGAATAAAGCCTGGGCTTCTTCAGACCCAGAACTGAAAAAAAAGATTTCGTGCTGTGCTTATAAACTTTGTGTATTAAACATGTCTTAGGCATATTCAGAAGTCTGTATACTTCTTATGGGAAGTAAGAGTACATTATACATTCTCACAGGACTACAATTCTCCAGAAACTTAGTCCAGGTCAAATCCGTGGCTAAAATGTCAATATACAATAATTCTTTGTATCAAATGATCTCTGTGACCTAACAAACAGCCCACATGTTTCAGGCAACAGACTAAAGGAGCTAAATGTTACAGTGTACCAGGACTGTATGGTGAGTCCCTGCACCCCCCCAGTTAAGTATTTACACCCTAAAGAAATGGACACTACTGTCCAAATAAGAGTAAACATACATGTTTAATCCCTAATTACAACACAGAATCAAGGAAGACACACTCATTCCACTCTTTGGTTATTAGGTGCTATTAATTTTAATAATACAATGATTGATTTTATTCTTCATATTGCCCAAAAGTAGGGAGAATGAGTGAAATAAATTAGTCCCTTTTGGAAAATGAGTGAGATGCTGTAAAACTATAAATAGCAACTGAATGCTAATGAGCACGAAGATAATTCTTCAGTTTAAATCCTCTGAAGTCTGTGAGCAGAAGATCTGTACTAAAATGTCAAATTTAAATAATGGCACCCCTGCTTTAGATCCCTGTGGGTTTGGAAGGTTTTATACACTCAGCGGGGCAGAGAAGCAGAAGTCCTACCATGGCCGAGCACAGGGAACCTGCATTTTCTGGCTCGGGCTCTGACACAGGCGGGCTTACACTAAAGGACTTCTCTGCCCCACCTCCCCAGTTTAGCCAGTTCTCATCCCGAGAACGAGTTGTGACGGCACGCTGACGGAGGAGTCCCTGGATGCCAGTTTCACCTCAGCAGCCCCCCACTTCTTCAGAAACCAGTAAATGCCCACTTTGTGTTGAAGCGGGCCTGACTTGTGTTTCTGGCACCTATAACTGAAAATGTCCTGACAAATAAAATATACATGCATTACTTTTAACCCGGCTCTCATCAGGCCAAAATGCAATTTCAGATTTTTCACTTAACATTTATAATGTTGAACAGAAGATAGCATTCATTAACATTTTCTCATACTGCTCTAAATTCTCATGAAATATGTTCTTAACCACTTCCTGGCTTTAGAACTGACTGGTAATAGTTCTCATATTCGAGGATTTCTCATATTTAATGGTCCTCAGATTTTAACCGTTATGTGTTTGAACAGTTTACTTCAAATAATTTTAAGTATTAGCAGAAGGGACAACGGCAAACATCTTATTCAAGACTATGGACTCCTTTACAAGACCTGACATTTGTAAAAGTAGAGTCTGTATTTTTTTCTGTAAAAATATGAAAGTAGAGTCTGTGTTTTTAGGAGGCAAGCATCTCCTACTGTGCCCTTCCCCTGGAATTCACGAGCCTATCTGGGAAGTGAGAAGGAGCACTGGTGAAAAATACCTCAATCTGCTGCTCCCTTACCCACTACATTAGCACTACGCAGAGACGTGCAGCCTGAGAACGTCCACCAACCGTCACCAGCCTACAACGAGATACAAAAATTGAAAACAAGCGTTCAAAAACTTTTACGGTAATTTGACATTGCCACAATATCCGAGAGTATGATTATTTTTCTAAGAGTTGGGTTTTTTTAATTACATTTAGCAAAAGTATCGTATCGTTCCCCAGCAGCGGGGAGGAACAATTTTCCAGACTGGCCGCTCACCGGAGACAGTGTGAGAAGTGCAGCGCTGTGTGCCATTCTCACTACCCAGGCAGAAAGGGATGCCAGCCTCTGAATGTCTCCAAAGCACCCGTGTCTACATGGCAATACCTACTTCCAGACCTGCATACCTACTTATCTATGATTAAGTACCATGCCCTGGCTCTTCTAACTCCTCTAATAGCCAACCCTATGCAAGCACGGGTAACTGGCCCATCACCCTCTGATTTTGCCACAGAATTTCTCAGAATGGTAGCCCACACTTCCTCCACTTCCTTGCCCTCCAATTACACCACAACCCACTACAATCTGGTTCCCACAACCAGATGACTGACACAAAACTTTCTAAGTCATCAGCAACATCTACGCAATCACTGCTGCCTCTTACTCCTCCCCACCTCTCCCACCCCAATCTTTGTACAGCACTCACAGCTTCTGACCACCCCTTGGCTTCTTTGACAATAGTGTCCTAGTTCTCTCCAGTTTCTGGCTGCTCCTCTTGGCTTTCTGCTGCCTTTTACTGTTTTATCCCCAAATGTTCGTCTTCCCCAAAAGTTTTACCCTTGGATCTTCTCTCAAACTCCTTCTACTTCAATCCACTCCCACCTCTTCAATCACCAGATCAAAATAGATAAATTCCCAACCTGCACTTGCAGTCCTAGCCTCTTCTTTGGAGCTCCAATCCGCATTCCCAAATGCCTCCTGGACTCACCCTGCATGTAACTGCCACAATCACCATGTATTTCTACCACTAGAATTGCCTGTGTGCCTTACTCATTCATCAAATGGTTTTCCTGCACATGCCAGGCACTGCGGGGTAAAGCACTAAACACAGCAGATGTGCTTCTGCCCTCACAGAGCCTACGACACTCAAGTACAGATCAGACAAGACAGACAAAATCATCACAGATGTCCATGTGTCCCTAAGTAAATAGAGGGCAAAGTGGTGCTACAGGGGGCTGGTTGAAGAGGGCTCTTTGAGCAGGAGGCATCTAAAACAAAAGCAAAAGGCTGAAACACCTAACTGGAATAGTCAAGTGAGCCAACAGTCTGGGAAACCCCGGCATGCTATAGGGTGTAAGAAAGTACATCAGCCTGAGTGTGAGAAGCGAGGACAGATCCTGCAAGGGGCTTGCTTTGTACACTATGGGAAGGAATCTGGATACTAGTCCAAGTGCACTGAGGTGATGACAGATTTTAAGCAGCAGTGTAACATTTAATTTATGGGCTAAAAAAGATCCCTTTAGCTGTATTTACAGAACAGCTTTGTGGGGGCAAAATGCACATAAAAAGACTACTTCAAAAGCAATTGCAACAACACAGGTGGCAGAACAAATTGGAAAGAGACAGATTCCATGACTCGAATAACCTCTTACCTGACCACCCTTCCTCAAAGCTGCACTGCTCTTGTCATCCATACCACTAGATTAGATCCAGGCACTCCCTGTTCAGAATCCTTGGCGGCTCCCCATTACATACAGAAGGGCCATCCTATTTTTAAAGCTCTCCACAACCCAAGCCCAGTCTACTTTATCATTATTTTTTCCCACTGCACTTAAAATCCTTTTAGATTAAGGTTCCAGTCCCAGAATACTCCCTGCATTCTGCCAACTCTGTGTCTTTTTCCCCAGCCTTCCTTCCCACCACCTCTCTTCTCCTCTCCTCCCCATCTGAGATCCCACCAATCCACCAAGCTCTGACCAAAGCACCACTTCTAATTAAGAAGCTCCCTCAGATCTTCCACATGGAACAGATAACACCTGCAGGACCAGACAGCTTTGTGAACACTTCTCACTCTGCTTTAACTACATCCCTGGTATTTGTCTTCTCACTCATAGTCTTCCTCCACTAGATAACCAAAGTTTGTAGGAAGGAAACACTCCCCGTTTATCCATTTCCCAGAACACCTAATGAAGTCCTGCAGAAAGACATCTGTTCAAATTACAATACCTTTTTCTAAAAGGCTCCTTGACACTTTATATGCAGTTACTCATTAAATACTCTTATGTGGTCAAGTGATATTGAAAGTAACCACTTTATCATCTTCTCGTCCTATTTATTTGCCAGCTATCTGTTTAATGGGGTCATTTATATACAGGAATGGGAAAAGAAATAAATTAAAACTAGTGGTGATGAAAAGTCAGAAGAGGAACAAGGTAGACCTGATGTATATAGAACCTTGTTATAGCAAATTTTAAAAGTTAAATGATAAAGGGACCTATTTATATGATAAAACTTTGAAGGCCCAAATTTAGAGACATCAATGTAAGATGTATATCAACAAGGCATAACGTCCAACCTTGAAATACTATAAATCCCTAAACAAATATTACAGAGACAAAATTCCTAGGACAGAAATTCATGACTCTCAGTTCAGGAAATACTGTTCGAAAGAACTTTCACATATATAAAGAGAAGAGATTCTAAAGTTGGGAATGTAATCTCAAATGCTACATGTGCTGTAGAGCAAGACTGGCAAACCATGGCCCACAGATCAAATCCAATCTGCCATCTGTACAGAATAGTTTTTACAATTTTAAATGTATTTTTTTTAATTCAAAAGAAGATTAATATTTCATGACATGAAAATGATATGAAATCAAATTTCAATGTCCCCACATAAAGTTTCATTGGAACAGAGCCACATTCATTCATCTATACACTGTTTATGGCTGCTTTGGTGCTACGACGGCAGAGCTGAGTAGCTGGGACAGAGACCGTTTAACCCACAAAACCCAAGATGATATTTATATTTACCATATGGTCCTTTGCAAAAAAACAATTTCCCAATCCCCCAGCTATAGAGGAAAAAAAAAATGGTCACATAGACAAGGACTATTCATGCCACAAGACTGGCCATTCTTTAAAAAAAAAAGATTTCAAGTCATAAATTCAGAGGGCTACAAGGCACCTCTCATTGTATGATAGATACCACATGGGAGAGACTTCAGGTTCCAATAGAGGAGTAAGTAGCAGGAACCAGATTTACCCTCCTACCCTAGACAACCAGAAAACTGGAGTTAGTATGTGAAACACCTATTTTCAGCCATTATGCACCAGGCAGCATAGGACTACCATCTCTGATGGAAGAGAAACAAAAAGGTAAGCCTTAAGATTGCCCTGACTTTCTGCCTAGAGGCACATTCCAGATTGCAGAAAGGATGGGGGATCCCAAGCAGGGCATAAATGTTTCCCTAAGCTGAAAAGACAGACACTGGAGATCTGTCCCAGACACCGGGAGTCTGAGGCAGCTGAAAGTTGCAGGACAAAGTTCTGGAGGGGAGAGAGCTACACAGAAAAAAAGAACTCCAAAAATATGCATAGGGTCACCAAGTTTTTGCTAGATATTAAGATATACATGTATAGAATGAAACTCCAGAGGCTGGGTAAAGGATAATCCAGGAGCTATGGACAGAATGGTTCCCCAGAGCTCACATGGGCTGGGAATTGTTTGGTTCCCATTAGCCAAACTGGAGAGTCCTCACTGATTACACAGGGCATTCAGTAGAGACACTAAGAGGGCCACACCCTAGTACTAGAGCTAAACCACCCGGCAGGGGCGGCGGGGGGAGATACTTGAGACTGTATAAAGTTTAAAAGCAAGCCTTGAAAGGATTAAACTGAACTACACGTATACTACCAGAAAAAGGGGGAAAAAAAAACCCTTAGATGAAGACCACAAAATCTAGGCACCCAACAAATACACAATGTCCAGCATCCAATCAAAACTTACTATACATGCAAAAAAAAAAAAAAAAAAAAAACCAGAAGAACGTGATCCATAACTAGAGAAAAATCAGTCAACAGAAACATTCAAAAATTATAGAGATAAGGAATTTAAAAACAGACATTATAACCATGTTCAAATATCAAAGCAGCCTTTCTCAATTCTCCCAAGGATGGTACACAGCTAGAACCACCCTAGATGCACCGAAGAGAAGTTAGTTAATTCATTGCACACCACAGATAGATAAGATATTAGACTCAATTCCCCAGGAACTCAGCCGAGAGGGGCTGGCTAAGAGAAATACATGAGCACAGTGAGAGAGATGGAAGATGTAAAAAGAGCCAAACAGAACTTCTACAGAAGAAAAAAGAAAACACAACGTCTGAAATGAAAAATTCATTCATTAAATGTGATTAACAGCAGATGAAACAACAGAAGAAAAGGTTAGGGAACTTGAAGATGTAGCAATAAAAAGCATCCGAAGTGAAGCACAGAAAGGGAAAAAAAGTAAACTGATGTAACAAAATTTAACCTTCAAACTGCTTCGCTATAAATCATCTATTCAGAATAAAATTAAAGGTTTCCCATTAAATCTACCTATTATGTAGACAATCTCTTGTTATCTGAAGTTACCTATGATAAATAAAAAATATTCCCAAATGAAAGTCCTAACAAGGATATGCAATAGCACTATAGTATCAAAACCCACACGGTAACTATGGGTTACTACCTTCCTGGACAGTAATTTTAATAAGCATTCAAATAAATGTGTGCATTTTGCTTCAGCTGTTTTAAGCTTCATCTTCAGAGGAGTATATGTGTATGTATTCACCCTCCTCTCTCCTTCAGAGATGGGTTTTCTGTCAGGGGCACTTCATAGAAAACGTTTAAGAAACACCAAATCAAGAAAATATTCGGGAAATCCCTAAGAACACCAAGCCATTTCACTTCAATTTCACCTGCTAAATAACTAATACTGATTTTTAGATTCAAACCCTAAGGCACTGTCAGAAAAAGGCACCGAACTAGCTACTAAAATAAGTTTCTTACAACACTCATTCCTTCAAGAAACCACCAAAATAACAAGTCATCAAGCCTTATCTTGTGATAACAGATCAATTTTAATTCTAGCACCTGAAGCTATACAAGGGTACGCTTTATCAACTTCATGGGACTGTTGTACACATTCAATAAAGTGACAACTGTGCAATACCACTTAGTATCTCACGATCAGGAACATACTTTTGAATTGTTTAAACACAATCCACAGAATTAAAAACAAAATCAGAAGCCATCCACAGTTATACTAATTGTCAATTAAGTTTTACACTTACTACTTGATATAACAGCCAATACCTAGTACGGGGTATCAAAAGTGACTTCAGATTCTCATCCTGTTGTAATCTATGGAGAAGGTTCCTCGAGCAGGTATGTGACTGGCCAGAGGTGGGCGCCACCAGGACCAGGACCAGAACAGCAAGTAAAGTTCTACCACAGTTTCTGTAGTTTTCACTTTTTTTTCTTTGTCAGTTAAAAGTGAACAGTGAGAATTAAATACTTATCTTTACATATACACAAGGTATGCTGTGAAAGCATATTTGCTTACAAACATATAAAAATACTTGTTAACTAGTTTGATAAGAAAATAATGTATAAAAGTATATAGCAAAAACATTAATCATCTCTGACCTCGGAAAGATCAATTCCATATTTTATATTACAAACAAAAACAGTTTTAGTTTTTTTGAATCCCTTATCCAGAAACACTTGAAAAGGAAGACAGATAGAAATTATTTATTTTTACTCTCGACAAGGCTGTGAAAAGAGTTAACTTAAAAAACCAAGAACATTGAAATGCCTTAAGTCCAGAATAAGTCCAAATATTTGGCCATACAGAACATTACTATCCTCTTCAGGAGTGGAGCACTTAATAAAGGCTTCATATGCAGTTTTTAACCTATAAATACAATAGGCATTTGGTATTTTGGCCACTGGAAAACAAAGGCTGTAGCATCAGTAAAGGTCTGAGAGGTCTCATTTTTGTGGTTCAATTCAGTGTATTTCAGGTTAACTAAGGTTGACATCAAAATTTTTAAAGATAGGCAAAAATTCACATTTTAAAAAAACTCCTTACATTTCTATTTAGAGTAACAATAGGAAATATGATTCCAGAAGGTAAAAGTTATTTCACAACCTATGACTTCAGCTTGGCGAACAGCTTAGGTTCCAAAACTGATTCATCCCTATTAAAATGTAAGCCCTTAAAAAAGAAATGTGTCTGTGTATATAGATCAGTATTTTTAAGGAATCAGATAATCTTTGAAGCAGCCTTAGTGTTTCCTTTAACTCTGTCTTGAAATGACCATAGGATTAGCTTCACAGAAAGGATCAGCCAGCTTCTAGGTCTAAGGCTACCACGGTGATCATTTGTCTAAGGCTAGAAAGGTACCAACGTGATGTGATGTAAACCGTAAGGAGAGAAGGAGAAGATGAGGGCTTTTCCTGGCAGTTGGTAGCTAAAATTCAAGGGATTCTTAGAAAATGACACAATGGCAGCCTTTCTTGTCTTTTTCTTTCCGTGTTGGTTCTGGTGAAGGAGGACATTCCTGCTCTTGAAATTTCCTGTAAGACAGAAAAATCTACATATAATTGTCTTGCTGGTAATATCACAAATATATAATTTTTGGACAAGCCTAGTTTATGTGCATATGCTTCTCAATGTTGAATTTCAACTAGGGAATCAAAGCAAATCTTCGAGGGGAAAAAAGGCACAAATGTTTCAACACCAGCATAAGCAGAGCTGAGTTTCACTTACAGGTGAGTCTTGACTCAGATTGAGATACTGAACTCAATGACCTCTAAGTCCCCTTCCCAATTTGAAATTGCATGACTATAAGGTATACTTAAGAAGAAGCGTCCACCGCTAGAGTAGAATATAAAGTACGAGGTACGCAGTTCCTATGCCTGTTCTGCCACTTACTAGCCACAAGTCAGCATTAGACAAGTCAGCTGACCTCTGTGGAGCCTCAGTTTTTTAGAAGGGAATAATAAAACTCTACCTTTCACAGTTGCTATGAGGATTTAAGAAGACTGTTATGTTTAAAGGCCTATCAGTGCCTGGCATAAAAAAGCCTCCTCTAGGGGCACCTGGATGGCTCAGTGGGTAGAGCATGCGACTCTTGATCTCGGGGTCGTAGTTCAAGCCCCACGTTGGACATGGAGCCTACTTAAAATAAAAATAAAATTAAAATTAAACATTTTTTTAAAAAGCCTCCTCTACCCACTCCTCACTCCAGATTGACGTACATGGATATAGATTCTGAGGATCAAAACTAAGGACAAAATATTTCCAAAGGCAGTAAAAGTTATGTTAAGAAGGTACTGATTTGTGTGCACACGCATGTTAAAATACATATAACAAAATTTAACATCTTAACCATTTTTAAGCATACAGTTCAATAGTATTAAATATATTTACAATGTGGTACAACCATCACCACCATCCACCTCCAGAACTCACCTTACAAAACTGAAACTCTGTGCTCATTTAAAAACAGAACTCGTACTTTTAACAAACCACTAAAAAATGAAAAACTATAATCCTTACTCTTCTTTCCCCACAAAGAGAATGCCCAGGCAAAGGGCTAAAACAGCACAAGAAGCCCAGAGCTCCGATGTGGATTCACCTTAGATACACAATTAACACCAGCTCACTCCACATACCTGGCAGGCAGAGAGACGAGCAGATCTTAGAGAGCCCAGGGTGAAGGAGAGGCCAAGCCACCAAGGCTAAAAATAATCAAATTAAACCCCTCCCACTATAAAGCAACTCAACTTTTCTCACATGAAACTAACTCCAGGTGACCTCACCCATCACCTCAAGCTTCCTGGTACCGTTAACACTTTCTGAACCACAGAGGCCTTCTAGGCCAACAGACAGAAAACCCCTTGGCTATCTGTGATATCATACTTCACCCCACGAATGGGAGGCCTGACTCTCTACTACCTGGCTCACTCTCAGCCTGGGAAGGGACGGGGATGAAGCAAAGCTGAAGAGCACAGGCTCTGCGATCAGAGAGACGGATTTGAGTGCCAGCCCTACCATTTAAAGCCAAAACTCTCAGCAAGTTAACTCACCTCTGTGTACCTGCTTTCTCATCCAAAAGTGAGGACAGATCAAAGGATTTAGCTTACTGGGTTGTGGTGAGGATTCAACGCCGTAATACATGTGAAGTATGAGGTGCAGTATCTGACAGAGACTGCCACCCAAATGTTAGCTATTGTCATCCCTGTCTTCATGCCACAGACACCTTTGGAAGCAGCACAGACTCTTCTCAAAATCCCTACGTGTACTCTCTCCTTCAATGTAACTGAATTTGGTTTTATATAGAGGAAGTACCCAGTGTACAGTATGTCCTTAGTTAAAATTTGTAATATGCTGTGGGCATTAGCTCCTAGCACAGAAGCGCTTCTCCATACAGCTTCCTCTTTCTTACAGAAAACACTGAGTGGCAATTTCTTTTTCAGCTAATGGTTTTAAACAACACAGTGTGATTACCTGTCAAATTCAATAAATTAAAACAAACTTCTAAGATGTATTTCACTTACCTTATAACCCGGACAAGTTCATGGAAAGCTTGATCTACATTCATCCTAATCTTGGCTGACGCCTCCATGTATGTTACCTTAAGTTGTCGCGCTAACTGCTGTCCTTCTTCCTGTGTTACCTGAAATTCCAAGAGTTGTATTTGAGGTACAGAATTAACAGATCTGCTCCATCTAATCCTTGGCCATGGACTACACGGCTAATCCAGCCAGGGGCCAAGCTGCTTTGTCATAAGATAAACCAAGAGACTCACAAGCTCAAAACATACTGAAGCCCACCTCTGAAGAACAACTCAAATGATGAAAATATGACCATGCAACAAGGTTTCAGTCTGGTGATTACTCAAAAAGTATTAAATACAATGGTGATAAATTCTGGGAAAGCAAAGTACAAGGTGCTAGCAGACTCTATAACCCTGTTGGGCAGATCAGGAAAAGCTTCCCTGAGGAATGACATTTAAACTAAGAACTAAATAAAGAATATGCAGTGACATGGGGTGGGGTAAGAAAGTATCCCTGACAAAAGAAACGGCAGGTATGAGAGCCAATTGGGGGGGAGGGGTGCACTTTCCAAGTTCCTAGAACTAAAAGAAGTCTAGAAAAGCTTAAATACAAGAAGCCAAGAGAGAAAATAATGAAGAGATGAGGACGGAAGCCTTGAGAGACCGTGGGTCTTCCTCATCTCTGCATTCCCCAATACCAGGCACATAAGGGACGCTCAATAAATACATGAGAAAAATGAGTAATGATTACGATCACAATGCCTTCCTGATACTAGAACGTGAAGGGTGGCAGAGCTAACAACTTAAAATGGTAGGACAGAATAAGAAACATAAAATGAGTACAATGCCCCACATGTTTTCAGTGTAAAAGTCCTCATGAAGTCATGACATTTACCGAAAAATGAAAAACGCTAAATTACATCACATTTACATGGTGTGGCTGAAAACTCTTTCGAAAACAATGACTTTTATTGCTATCATTACCACAGAAGTAAACACTTGCACAGAAGTTAGAAACTAGATTGGGGAAGGGGGTGGACTCAGGAACCTATCTCCCGTAGAGAACTGCCTTCTTCTGGTCTTTTTTCAGTGATGTACCTTTCTCTCTACAAAAAAAAATCGGATCATGATTTTTGTGTATTTATGTTATACCCTGGAACTATGTTAAACTCACTTATCTGGGTGTTCTTTTGTAAATTCCATAGGCTTTGCTACAGGATCATGTCATTTGCTTCTAAAGACGGTTTTGTTGCCTCCTTTCTGATGTGAACGCCTTTCATTTCTTTCTGGCCGGCCCTCCCAGCGTAGCACATCAGTGCCGTGCCAGCAGCATTCAGTCCTTCCCCATGAAGCACACGGTTCGGGGTAGGCCTTCACTGCACATGCCCTTCACCATGTCAACAAAGTTCCCGCTAGTCCATCCGGAAAGAGTTTTCAACAGCATGTTAAACTTTCTCAAATGTTTTTTTCTTCATCTACCGAGATCATGATTTTTCCACATTCGTCTATTAATACGGTGAACTGTGCTGATTCATTTTTGCCTGTTAAATCAACACTGCATTTCTGGAATAAACCCCACTTGAGTAATGATGCATTGTCCTTTTCATACATGTACTGTTAAATTCTATTTGCTGAAATTTTAAGAATTTTTACATCTGTGTTCACAAGAATTATTGGACTATAGTATTCTTACGTCTCTGTCTGGCTTTGGTATCAGAGTAATGTTGACTTCATATAAGGAGTTGGAAAGAACCCTCTCTTCTTCAATTTTCTGGAACACTTTCAGCAAAATCAGTTCGGCATAATTCACGAGCAAATCCACCTGGGCCTGGGGTTTTCTCAGAGGGAAGGTTTTTACAACCAGCCGAATTTATTATACAGATACAACACTATTCGGGTTATCTAATTTTTTTTCTTGAGTTTTGGCAGTGTGTGCGCCCTTTAAGAAATATTTCTATTTCATCTAACTTGCTGAATCTATTGGTATAAAGTTTCTTTATAGTATGGTATTTCTTTATAGCATAGTATTTCTTTATATCGTATTTATTATATTTTCAGTATCTGTAAGATCTGAAGTGATGGGATCTCTTCCATTACTCTATTGGTAATTTGTGCTTTGCTCTTTTTCACCTGGTCATTCTGGCTAGATTTGTCACTTTGACTAATCTTCTAAAAACCAGATTTATCCTTCTATGGATTTTTTATTTTCAATGTCGTTGATTTCCATTCTTTAGTATTTCCCTTCTCCTAATTACTATGGTTTTAATTTGCTTTTTTCTTCTAGTTTCTTAAGGTAGAAGCTAGTCTCTGAATGGAGACTTTTTCTTTCCAAATAATAACCACTTAATACTACAAATTTCTCTATATTTTCTTCTTTGGTAGCATCCCAAATTTTGATTATGTTGTGTTTTAATTATAATTCAGTTCATAATGCTTTATTAATTTCCCTTTTGATCACTCCTTTGTGCCAAGGGTTAGCTGGAAGTTTGTTGGTTTCCCCATATTTAGAGGTTTCCTGATTTCCATCAGTCCCACCATGGTCAAGGAACATACCGGGCCTGACTAGAGTCCTCTTAAATTTATTGAGACTTGTTCTCATTTCAAAATAATGTGTATTCTGCTATAGTTGGGTGGAGCATTCACTAAATGTCAGTTAGAATAAGTTGTTCAATAATGTTCTTCAAGCCGCCAACATCCTTACTGATTTTCTCTCTACTTAACTACTGAGAGCAGTGTTGAAAATTGCGACTATGAGTATGTCAATTACTTGTTGCAGTTCTTTCAATTTTTGCTTTAAGAATTTTGAAGTTGTTATTCAGTATATGAATGTTTAGGATTGTTATGTTCTCTTAATGACAATCTCTTTTTCATTATGAAACAATCCTCTTTATTCCTGGTCATCTTCTTTGCTCTGAAAGGGACTTAGGCTGATACTTACGTTGCCATTTCAGCAAACTTTCCATTAGGATCAGCACGCTGTATCTTACCCCAGCCTTTCACTTTTAACCTCTTTGTGCCTTTACACTGAAAGTAGATTTCTTGTAGGGTCTCACTTTTTTATCCAATTTGACGACATCTGCCTTTTAAGTGAGGTGCTCACACTATTTACTGCTAATGTGATTACTGATGTCACGGGGTCATCTTGAACTTTCTTTCCTATCCACCCCATTTGTTCTTTGAACTAACCCTTCTTTTGGGTTAACTGTATTGCTCTTATGATTCCCTTTTCTCTCCTTTATTGGCTAATGAACTATGTAATTATGTTGTTTTAATGACTGCTTTAGAGTTTATGATACACATTTTTCACTCATCACAGTCTAATTCAAATGCTTTACACCAATGCACATATCGTGTAAGAACCTTATTACAATAGAACGTTTCTCCCTCCCACTTTTTATTGTTATTACCTTTTACCTCATAATAGACGGCTGTTATTTTTGCTTTAAACATCCCATCATATTTTAAAGAGATTTAAAGAACAGTAAAAGTAATTTATATTTGCCCACACAATTATCATTTCTGGTGCTCTTCATTTTTTTGGTACAGATCCAGATTGCCATTTGGTATAATTTTCCTTCTTTTCATTTCTTGTAATGCAGGCCTGATGGTAACGAATCCTCTCACCTTTTGCACATCTGGAGAAAGTCTTTATTTCACCTTCATTTTTGAAATACATTTTTAGTGGGCATTTAATTCTAGACAAGTTTCTTCTTTCAATACTTGAAAGATGTTGTGCCACTATCTTCTTCTCCCCTGCATCACTGCCCATGAGAAACCATGATGACTGCCGCATCTTTAGCTCTGTTCCTCTGTGTGTAATAGTTTTCTTTTCCTCTGGTTATCGTTCAGATTTTCTCTTTATCACTGGCTTTAAATAATTTCATTAAAATGTATGTGTCCTATTATAATTTTCTTCGTATTTCTTATGCCCAGGGTTTGCTGAGTTTCTTAGATGTACGCATTTTAGTTTTCATCAAGTTCAGACACTTTTCAGCTATTATCTCTGGCTGTTAATCCCACTCAGGGTATTTTTCATCTCAGACATTGTAGTTCTTAATTTCTGTAAGTCTGATTTTGATCTTTCTCCATCTTCCATGTCTCTACCTACCATATGCAATTTCAGTCTTTTCTCTAGCTTCTTGAACATATGGAATAGAGTCCTAAGAACTGTTTAAGGTATCTGTTCACTAATTCTATCATCTGTGTCATTTCTGGGTCTGTTTCTAGTCCCCGCTTTTTGTCCTTACTGTGAATCATATTTTCCTGCTTCTTGCTTGGTAATTTTTGAGTGGATGGTTGGGTACTGGACTTTTACCTATTGGGTTCTAGAAAGTTTATATTCCTATAAATGTTCTTGAGCTTTCTTCTGGGATGCAGTTATTTGGAAAGTGTGCTCCTTTTTGTTACATAGTACCAGAACAGAATTCGTTCAGGGTTAATTTTGTTCTACTACTGGAACAAAACCCGTCTGCGTACACTACCCAATAACCCAAGAATTATGAGATTTTTCACTCTGGCTAACTAGAATAGGAATTATTCCTGGCCTTATTTGAGCTCAAGGTATTATTCCCTCTAGTCTTTTAAGGTATCTTGTTCTCCCAATTTAATATTCCATTTCCAAAATTCAGCAACCTCAATGTAGTATCATTAGTTAATTACATTAACACATACATCTAATAATTACTTCATAATAGTTGATAACCTTGTTGTGCTCCAGAAGGGCAGCAGGCAGGTTCTCCACAGCACTGGTATACCCAAGTTTTTGTAAATTTTAAACTTTCCTGCCTCTCTTCAAAATGGCTTATATACCATAAAGCCAATGGTTTTGAAATATAAATCAATCAAATCAAGCAAGCAATTAACAAGTAAGGAAGCCAACTAAGAAAAGAAAGCTTCACAGAAGCCAATTTAAAAAGAAAATTCCTATTTTAAGTTGACATGGGAAATTCCTTCCTACAAAAAAATCCCCATGCTGTCACAAATTCTGTTCCTTCTTCCTGGGATGCCACCCCTTCTCTCCCAACATTATACTCTTAATTTGTTCCTCAATAACACTTCAAGACTCAAGCCATCAATAACTTCCCCCTTACTGCCACTGAGGTTTCGGAACAGCACCCTGG